CAAGTGCCTAAAAAGAAACAAAATTTAATCATAAGTAGGTCATCTTCTTTTCAACTGTCACAAAATAAATTTATGAGTTCAAGCTTCACAAAACGAAATCCGAGAAAATCATTGTCTACATCAAAGTTAAAAAGTAAATCTGAAAAACAAATTGACACTAACACAAATGACAACAAAGAACGAACTACAATCACGAATGCAAATATTAATAATGCACTTGACATAACTGAAGAAACGAAACCCATCTTTGGTGATCCAGTGAAAGTTACATACATTGAACACGAATCTGCAACTCATTCGATTGGTACAGTGCAGCAACTAATTGAAGGTCATACTATCACTAGAAATCTGAATGTAGGCTGGTTAGGTAGGTGTGCTAAGCAAAATAATTTGGAGTATCCTGCACTCGATTCACAGAGGCTTTCTGGTACAAGTGATTCTGGAATCGAGTCATTGGAATCCAGTACTCAATCACTTAAGGGAAACATTGTAGCACCTGAACCATTTAAATCAGTTCAAGTATCAGATGAAGAAGATTTTATTTGTAATAGTGATTCAGAAGAAGAACGAAAGAACAAACGTATTAGAAACTTTAAGAAAACATTTAGTGATCAAGATAACTATCCTGTTAAAAGGCTGTGTACTGATAGTAACATTGGTATTCCTATTGTGTGTTTTAATGAGAGTATTAAAATATCCAATGAACAAGAGAAATGCAATGATTTTAATGCTTTTAGTATTCCTGCAAGTAAAGATAATAGTATAAATGAGAAATATGTAAACAATCAGGAAAATATGACTAGTAGTAACAATAATAAAAACAAAATAAATGATACTTTAAGTACAGTAAACACAAAGGCAGATAACGAAGATACTGCAGATACAGCATCTATTAAAAAGCAACCACGTCGTCGTAAAGTTATTAGAAAAATTAAAGATGATTCATCTGATGATGAAGACCCAGATTACAATAAAAATAATGAAATATATGCAAAGAAGAAAGAATCAAAGAAAACACGAGCAAGTACTAGCAAGAAGAAGACTACTTCAGAGAGTACAAATATAATTAGTGAGAAAAAAACACGAGCAATTACTAGCAAGAAGAAGACTACTTCAGAGAGTACAAATATAAAAAGTGAGAAGAAAACACGAGCAAGTACTAGCAAAACGAAAACTACTGCAGAGGGTACAAATATAAAAATTGAGAAGAAAAATGCTCCATCTACAAGAAGGTCCTCTAGAACGAAAAAGAATGTACAGAATGATGAAGAAGACGTATTAGAGGCTGAAGGTACAGAGGATAAAAAGTCTGCAATCTATGCAGTAGAAACATTACAGGCTGTTCCACGTTTTGTCATTGATAAAAACAATCAAGGAGATCTCATCGAACAATGTGCCAAATCTGTCTTGTCTACAGCTGACAATTCAACTATTCGTTCTGTTGAAGTCAAAAAACCGAAAGGACAATTAACAGATAAAGAAAAATTGGAGAAAAAGGTAGCCGATGGAAAAGTAAATGACAATTTTGTCAGAATAAATTTAAAAAAGAAAGTGTTCGTGCGCGGTAAGAAAAATTTCAATTTCTCCAAGTACAAGAAAAATCAGTGGAAACAAAAGAAACAACAGTTAGGATCCAGCGAAGGTAGTTTAGAAGTAGCTGATTTTGTTGAAAAACGTGGCGTCATGACTTGCTTCAAATGCGGCGACGTTGGTCATTTTTCAAGGTATTGTCCGAATAGAAATGGTGATAACCTGATACCGTTAGAAGAGATAGATGATAGTTCGCAATTTCCAACATTAGAAGAAGCAGAACAAATGGCTTCTCAGAATGCAGTTAACGCACACGCTAATAGAATTGATCGTTTGCCACAAAAACCGTCGTTTTCTTCCAAGGCGGAAGATCAGTCGGTAGAGAATGAAACAGAGAATAAGAGTGATTATGATGATTTATGGGAACCCATAGAGGATGAAGTAAGGCGAAATTTTTGCAAATTTTACTTTATAACTGCGCAACAACTGCTTTATACTTTCATCAAAATTTTGTAGGAACTTCTGTGCGGACACAAAATACCCGAAGAGTTGATATCTAAATTACTACCGCCAGAAATTGGCGCTGTGCGTCCTTTATATAATACAAACGAAGATCAGTCGTGCATAGGTACTGTCGTAATATTCAAGTAACATTTCAAATTAGTTCACAAATGACATTCCATATCGTAATTACAGAAACACCATTCGAAGTTTTTGAAACGTTACAAAAATTTGGCCACGAGACTTTCAGACCCGGACAAGAGAAGGCAGTGATGCGAATACTTTCTGGTCAATCAACGTTGGTCACTTTGTCGACTGGTTCTGGAAAATCATTGTGCTACCAATTACCTTCATATCTTTATTCGAAATACTCTCACTGCATCACTTTGGTGATATCGCCATTAGTGTCTTTGATGGACGACCAAGTAACAGGGGTTCCAGAATTTTTAGCCGCAGCGTGTCTGCACACAGCCCAAACTCCAAAAGTACGGGACAACGTAATGCAATTGGTCAAGCAAGGTAAAGTGCGTGTACTGTTGATTTCTCCAGAGGCTGTGGTCGCCGGCGAGAAATCAACTGGTTTCGGTGCCTTACTCCGGCAGCTTCCACCGATTGCATTCGCGTGTATAGACGAGGCTCACTGCATATCGCAGTGGTCGCATAACTTCCGTCCATCCTATCTTATGGTTTCTAAGGTTCTCAAGGAAAGATTAAAGGTCAGAACGATATTAGCTCTTACCGCCACTGCAACAAAAGCTACCGCTGAAAGCATAGTAAATCACTTAGGTATACACGATGGAATGAATGGTGTCATCTCTGATATCCCAATACCGAAAAATCTGCTGCTGTCAGTCTCCAGGGATGAAGTCAAAGATCAGGCTTTAATGAAATTATTATCAAGTGAAAGGTTCCAGGAGTGTGATTCGATTATAGTCTACTGCACCCGTCGAGAAGAATGCGTAAGAATTGCCGGTCTGATGAGAATTCATTTACAGGTATAACTTTTTGTATTTTAATAACTTTGGTTAGGTTAGTATACTGATCATAATTGTATGTAATTGTTTATCCTTCAACAGGATGTGCGTAATCCCGAGAAACCCGGTAGTCAATTATCTTCCATTGCGGAAGCGTATCATGCTGGTTTGTCAGCTTACCGTCGGAGAATTGTTCAAAAAGCATTCATGAGCGGACAGATTAGAATTGTTGTAGCTACCGTTGCTTTTGGTATGGGCATCAACAAAGCAGATATCCGTGCTGTCATTCACTATAACATGCCTGGAAGGTTTGAAGGTTACGTCCAGGAAGTCGGAAG